TACTAATCGCTTGTTATAAATATATAAGACATAATTATTGTATATGGGTATATGCTAAGTGTTTATCTACAAAAACGCTTGGGTATGACGTAATACTGTAACATTAGAGTCATTTTTGATAAGTAGACATTCCCAATTAAGGATAAATGATGACCTTTTTAAACCTCATTCGCTATTATAAAAGATAGTGTCGAGTAGAATGTCTCAAATCTTCCCACGAATTAAAATAAATATCTTCAACATTTTATACGCTACGTAAGCACCATTTCTGATAAGTGAAATTTGGACCATCAGTGTCTGATTTTAAGTTTTATTTGTCCGCTACGTGTGACCAGGAAGGAGAAAAAGTACAAAAACGAGGTTCACAATAATTTCTTAAAAACTCCGACTCCTCCACGTAATCTTCTTGACCTCAACTAAAAATAACCAGAAACTCTATATACGCTAAACAGTGGAGACGTTATGGAATCTTTAATTTTCATAGTAGCTCTGCTGTCACTAAGATACTTTGTATAACTTGCAAAGCCTTTTCGTTCCTGGCACGATAGTAACCTTGTGTCAAAATTCCTTAAAAATGCAAACTATAATTTTAGAGGTATATGTACCTACCTCGAAACTTTGGTGAACAAATGGAGAGAGCAAGAGAGAGAGAGAGAGAGAGAGAGAGAGAGAGAGAGAGAGAGAGAGAGAGAGAGAGAGAGAGAGAGAGAGAGAGAGACAGAGAGAGACAGAGAGAGAGGGAGAGAGAGAGAGAGAGAGCGAAAGCAAGATAGAGAGAGAGACAGATAGCAAGAGGCGGAGAGAGAGCAAGAGAGAGAATAAAGCTGGCAACGGACGGTGAGCGATAATATAATATATTATAGTCGTACAATACGCTATAATATTATATTATATTATATTATGACTGCAGCGGACGACAGAATATATATTTTCATCTCTTTCTAACAGTGTTGCCGACTTCTTAGTATTTCTGTGAGTAGGCTGATCTGCTGATCTGAACTGAACACAGTGTATTTAATTAACCAGTGTCTCATTATTTAGTTGTGGTGTGCATTCAAAATGTCTAAGAGGCTTAATGACTTGCTAATACTAGACACAATCGATAGCTCATCAGAAGATGAAGCAAATGCCAAAAACGATTACCTCTTAGCAGTGATTGCGTCTAATCAAAAATAAAATCCTAGATACTGGTTATTTAACCATATCAAGTTTAGGAAGGGACGAGGAGAATTTACACTGTTCAAAGACTTAAGTGATGAAAAATTCGCGAATTATTTCCGAATGGATAGAAACAATTTTTATAGGGAAGAATTCTGTAGATATTTTAGTACGTATGGAAGTGTTCCTTGGCAACAAACCCGTGTGTCGAATTGATTCGCGACATGGACATTATATTTCTAATAATTCCCTTTGATTTGTATTTAAATAAGGTTTTTCTAAGGTTGGATCAAGTTTTTTCACCGTAAAAGTAAAATGTAGTTCACAGTCTAAAATCCCTAAAACTGTTTTGGACATTTCTACTTATAGTAGGGGAGCCCACGATGTTAAATGGGGAGTCACTCAAAAAGATCTACCTTAGCTTATATGTAGATATATGATAGAGGTGCTCAAAAAGGGTACAAGGTATCCCCCATATGTTAATCTGCGGGGCTTGATCAAATTTCAAAATCCCCTCTTGGGCTCACCTACTATTAGCTTTCAAACTATCTATTAACGAGCCCCTTCCCACTTCAGTTGGCCCACTTCAAGATATGTACCAAAATATGCCTTTATAAACTAAACATGACGAAACTATTTACTTCTAAAACAATTTATTTTCTCAAAAACATTTTAGATACACTCTAGTCGTAAAAAATACATATTTGAAATCACTTAGAGCTATAACTAATAGAACATCTGAAAAAATAAACAATGTGCGAATAAATGTGTGAAGCAGCAATTGAAAGATTACCATGATTAGGGAGTGATAAAGTTGGTGAAGGGGCTCGTATATAAAAATAAATATGTACAAATTGAATACATACCGTCGGATAAATCGCAATAATGCGATGATAGTCCTCCAAGCTGCTTCTTTAATCTCATTATTTTTATACTCGTTCGAGTATATCTTCCAAAAATTATGGATGTTTTCTTACACTTTCAATAAAATATGTACTCCATTTAGTCTATTGCGAATTCCGAAGTGTAAGAACAAATAACAAAGTGGCAACGCCGCGCCAAGCCGGCCTCCAGCATGAGCGGTTCGGTGGCATTTACGGGTGACGCGACGCAAGGGGAGGATAGATATAGGGCGATATAGGGCAGAATAACGCTCGGTAGGCATATCCCGTCAGATACGTAATATATCACTGGGATATAAATATATCTTACAGCGTCCGTGCGTGGCGGCTCTGAGAGAGAGGGAGAAAGAGAGAGACACACAACAATCAAAAATCATATAAACTGAATCCAAATTCAAGATGAGATGTAAATAATAACAGTTAGCCCGTGATCTCTCGGTAACAGGTGGGGACAACGCCTCTTATTGGTCAATTCGCCATTAAATTTCAAGCGGCCGCCTGGCGGAATAATGCGCGGGGCAGGGGCAGGGCAGGCAGAGTTGCACTCAGGCCACCGTCCGTCGCGTGTATCACTGCGTGCTCGTGTTTTCGTATTCACCTTGCTTGGTTGTTGCTGTTGTTGTTGTTAAGTGTATTTGAGTAATTTGTTAAGTTTTTGTTTCTGTTAAATAATGTCATCTTTGTTTTACAACACGTTGGTGGTAGTCCATCATTCGGAGGTAGCCCTGAATGCGGCCCTGTACGCCGTCCTTGCTTTTGGCAATCACGCATCCATTCTATCGTGGGTGTAAATACACTATAGACTTTTCGTTTCAATATGAACAACGCACTGGTCGGTTTTAAATGTAGCTGATTCTGCAAGCATTGGTACATAAAAAGGTAAAATGGTAAACACCAACTGCTGATTGATACTGTGGACCTGTCTGCGTTTAAATCTGATTACTTTCCTCTGAGCCACGTCAAGTATGAGCATTGTTTAGTTCTATATAGGTATTTGGAGGGCATCAGACTAAACATTTGGTATAAAAGCTGCTCACCATGGTGAAATGCTAGCAGTATCATGGTGGGACGTGTAGCGAACGACTGAGGGGTTTTATCGAGCATGTTACATTTCTGGAGAATCTTAACACTTCGTGCAGGAAAGGATCACCAATTTCACAAGTCAATTTTATCAACTAAAGCACGTGAAATGTCAACTACTACCGTTTGACGTAAATAGTCGGCAAATTTGAACGAGTCCATTCCTTTTCATTTTTGACGTTAAGGTTTCTGTACATACACAGCATACATTTCCCACATGGTAGGCAACTCTCATTACACTCTTATGTTTTTCCAGGCACCTACAGCAGCGGAGAGGACTCCCGCCAGCAACAACAGCAGCAGCAGTATAGTCCCACTTCCCAACAAGAAGGGGCGGAGCTTTCCCCCCGTCAGTCGCGGGCTGCCACGCCCCTTGAGTATCTGGCGTACACAACGGAAGTGGTCGGTGGCGATCACGAGAATAATACCACAGCCTTAGTGAGAGCGGATGGACGGTTTTTGCATAGCTTTACGCTTGAGGAGGTCCATCAGGTAGGTAGACTATGGATACGATATTAATGTAGATAACTGGCTGGTTCAGCAGAGGTGCGGCGTTGTTTGTCATTATTGTGGCTAACTAGCGGATATAGCATAGAGGGTAAAAGGCGATCAAGGGCGTACCCAGGTCAAAACGGAATGGGGTAATCTTGAAAAAACTTTTTGGTGGATGTTGTGAAGGCATTAATGACTGATAGAAAATGTATTCTGTTAGGATATTCATATAGTTCTTGGATGTTTCGGTCCTCTCGATAGTGTTGTTTATATCTCCTGTTGTTACACGTATGTCAGAGTTATTATTGTGATTTTTAAGGTATAATTCTAAATCTTCTGTAAATAATAATGCGTCCGTTGAAGGTGGTCTATACAGGATGTCCGCAAGTTGGGGTTTTCCTTTACACGACGTGTAGATCTTGAAAACATAAGCAATTTTTCTTAGTACCATATACACCAATGTCTTAAGGGAACCGAGATAAAGGGCTCTGTAACATCAAAAATATCTGAATACCGTCCTGTAGCCGCGACCCGCGACATCACCGATTGTTACAAGGTCAGTGGCTCAACCCGACGACAGAACTGGGTCGGGGTCAGTGTGTCAGGTCAGTATGCAACCTTCAACCGACGGTTACGGTCACGCGTGTAGAGGTAATCGCGTAGACGAGAATCCCTCAACAAACACTAGAGACGTGGCTAGAGAAGTGCAAGTATCAAAAACTAAAGTGTGGCAAACGCTGCGTGAAGAGGGGCTGTATCCGTTTCACGTCCAACGTGTACAAGCCCTTCAACCTGACGATTTTCCAGCAAGAGTGCGGTTTTGTGAGTGGTTGTTGCATCAACATGACAATAATCCGGACTTTTTGAAGTGCATATTGGTGACAGACGAATCTACGTTCACGCGTAATGGGGTGAATAACTTTCGCAACACTCATGTTTGGTCAGTAGAAAATCCGCACGCTGTCCGTCGGGCACATTTTCAACAAACATTTTCATGCTCATTGGAAAATTTATTCTCCCAAATCGATTGGACGGAATGCAATACCTAGACCCTAGACTTTTTACGCAACATTTTGCCTTCCTTGTTTGCCTGCGCCTGCTCGGTAGCGCATCAGCTGATTTCATTTTCTGTTGGAGCGGTATGATTTCGGGCAGAGACGTACTTAGCCCTTCTCGTCAACTGGTGAGTGAGTACTTTTTTCTTTATTTTTTTTTACTTGGTTGCCCTCGTTTCACTGCACGTTACCTTTGTTATTTCAAGGGTAGTTGTTTCTGAAAAGGAAAACCCCAACTTTGCGGACACCCTGTATAGTGCTGTTATTAATATACGTTTCTTATATTTGTTGACAATGACAACTAAATGAATGACTTTAATCCTAGTGCTGCTTGGACAGTCGGTATTTTCCTGTATGCCATTCCTAAGATACACACCATCTCTAACACTTCAAGTAATCGTTCCTGTTTTAGGTGCCCTTAGAAGAATCAGATGGCTGTACCGGCAACAGCGGGGCTGGTGAGTACCTCCAGCTCGGTCAAGCAGCCCTCTCGAATGGTTCCCCCTCCCATCACCACCATGGGAGCACTACGGGCACCCCTTCGCCAGAATCACCTACGCAGGTCTATGCCCTCCATACTATTCACCACCAGGATGACCATCAGCAAGTCAGCGAAACTGCTCAGCTGACGCAGCTCACCAATCACATCAGCTACACTGGCGTGGGAATGGGATCTCCGAATGCAGGCGCTGCTGCCACAATCAGGTAAGTTGCTTTACTTTAACACCAGCAACAAAACTTCCATTGCCGTAATAGCGCAGTGCTAACAACAGCTGCTGTTGGGGCGTTAAGCAGTCATTCCTGGAATAACAAAGTCATGTAGAAATATGGAAATAAACAATAATTATAAGATCAAACGAACTTACCTTAAGTGATGTTCGATCTTGATTATATTACGGTCCCGTCGAAGTAAATAAAGAAGTCTGTAGTACCTCCGTTCTGCGTTTCCGGACCACAATTTTTAAAGAAATCTGCATCTGGCAACACCGCACCCCACTCCGAACCTTCAGGTGCCTCGCTGCTTCAGTCATTTTAAAGTTGTTGTTGCAAAGGGGAATTCCAGTTGATTATTTTTTATAATAACAGGCAGGGTGGGACTTTATTTACTTCGACGGGACCGTAATATAATCAAGATCGAACATCACTTAAGGTAAGTTCGTTTGATCTTATAATTATATCACGGTCCCGTCTCCTAAATAAAGAAGTCTGTAGATGTTTAAAGTAATTGCAACAACGCATAAATTTATTTGAATAATGGTTGAAATAACATGGTAACTAAAAATAATTACTATCTCAACTAAATTAAGTTTCAACTCCTTACTTATTTTAAGATACACAAGTTTATTATATATATATTTTTTTTTTTTTTTTTTAACAATTTAGTATAACTTTTGCAAACTTAGAATTGTCTACGACAGGGCGATTATAAAAGTTTGCGAACGTTCTAGAATCGTTAGACCAACCTGCCGCTAATCTTATGGAATCAAAACTGACCCCAGCCCTTGCTGCAGAAGAGGTGGATGCATGTCTTGTACTTTGTGGTTTAAATATGGTCATATCTACTCCACTATTTTCTAGCATATCTTTAATCCATCTGGATATAGTAGAAACAGATGCCTTGTTGTGTGGTTTCTTAAAGGTAATAAAAAGCCAATCACAAGAGTTTCTTAACTTCTCGGTAGCACTAAGATATGTTAATAGTGTTCTAGCTACGCATAGTTGCGGATCATTATCAAAAAAAGGTAAAACCAAAAGGGGTTGCGGTTTATTTATTGAGGATGTTTTGATACGGTCTGGTATCTTTATATTGATTACGTGAGATTGAACTGAGATATTATTAATCTTTATAAGTGTTAATGTTTGTATACGTTGGCCGGTGGCCAAGGCCAACAAAACCGCAAGTTTTTTGCTTAAGGTTGCTAGAGAAAGAGTTTTAGTTCCAAGCGTCCTTACATAGGATAATACTATTTGGGGATCCCAAATATTCTCATATCTAGCTGTAGGTGGTTTTTTGCTAAAAACTCCTTTGAAGAAACGCTTGACCCTAAAATCTTGGCCAAATTGTGGCCCTGCAATCTGAGCTATGGCCGATCTATAAGAATTAAGGGTTCCATAAGTTGCGCCTTTCTCAAAGTGAATGGTTAAAAATTCCAGAACGTCCTCCACAGCTACCTCATATGGAATAATGTTTTTGTTAACACAAAACTCCCACCACAGGCGTAGACCCCCATTATACTGTTTCAAGGTTGATTCTGTGATCGAAGCTAAACAAATATCCAGAGTAGCTAAAGGCACCTTCCCTTGTAGAAGTGCTTCCCTGATAACCGCCCTGCTACCAGGGAAAGGTTTTTCCATAAGGGGTGTGGGGTCCCGCTAAATGAAAGTAGAGTTTCGTTAGGGCCAAAAACTAGGGGTTCCTGTATCAATAAGGATTTAAATAGTGGGTACCAGGGTTGTGAACACCATCGAGGTACAACGACAATGCCTTCCGCCTTATCTCTAATTATTTTTTGCAACGTTCTTAATATTAAGGAAAAGGGTGGAAAGGCATAAAAGTTCAACCCATTCCAACTTAAGGTGAAAGCATCTATTCCGTGAGCCTCCGGGTCTTGAAACCATGATATAAAGAGTTTACATTTTTTGTTAATGCGACTTGCGAACAGGTCAATTTTCGGGTCACCAAATTTACTGGAAATTTTTGAAAAGGCAGCTTCGGAAATTGACCATTCTGTTTCTCTGTGAATCTGACGGGAGGCTCTATCGGCATGTACATTATCTTTGGAATTAATATATGATGCAAAGATAATTATATCTTTTTTCTCGCAGTAATTCCAGATCTTTCTGGCTAATTTATTCAGAGCTGGAAACCGTACGCTTCCAAATCTGTTAATAGTGGAAACTGCAGTGGTGTTATCAATTCTGCATAGAATATAACAATCAGATAGACCCTGCGTAAAACACTTTATCGCAAAAAAGACTGCCAATAATTCCAATTCATTAATATGTTTTTGTTTTTCTTGAAGTGACCAGAAACCAAATGTAGTTTTACCTTCACAGTACGCCCCCCACCCAGATTTAGAAGCGTCTGAAAAGATTTCAAGAGCGAATTCCTCATTATGAATGGAATTATTCGATAAAGTGACGTGTTTAAGCCACCAAGACAAATCAGATAACAAATGCGGGGAAATATTCATTTTTGCGTCATAGTTTCCCTGAACATGATATAAGGCCTTCATTTTGGCACGTTCAAATAGTTTAGTGTACAAAAAACTATATTTTAGTGCTGGAGCGGCTGAAACCGAATTTCCAATAAATTTGGAGAACTCTCTTATGGTGCAAGTTTTAGTTTTAGTAAAACGTAGTAACAATTTTTGCAACCTAGCACGTTTTTCTTCGGGTAATGACACTGTCATATAAATAGAATTGTATTGAAAACCAAGAAAAACGCAACTTTGATTAGGAATGAGAGAACTTTTTTTATAATTTATAATAAAGCCTAAGTATTCTAAGAGTTTAATAGTTTCCCTTGTATTAACTACACACTCTTTGTAAGTTCTTCCAAGAAGTAGAAAATCGTCTAAATATATGACGGAGAGTAACCCACGTTTTCTAAGATGAGATACAACTGGCCTTAAAATCTTCGTAAAAATTAGAGGCGCGCAGCTCAATCCAAATGGCAAACAATTAAATTCATAAATGTAGCCCTTAAACTGAAAACGTAGGTACTTTTTATGTGAATCATGTATTGGTACTAAATAATAGGCGTCCTTCAAATCAATATTGCACATGAAACAGTTTGGTGTAACTATCTGGGTAACTGTCCTGTGATTTTCCAACTTAAAATGTGATGCTGCTACAAATGTGTTAAAGGATTTTAAATTAATGATCAATCGATTAGTGCCATCAGGTTTTGGCACGATAAAAACATTTGAAATAAATTGATCTTTACAGGGTTTTACTATAGAAAAAATTCCCTCTTGCAAGGATTTTTTAATAATAATATCAATAGCATCACATTCTTTTTTTGACCTTAAGGGCTCTAAAGGAGCCGTTTTTTGTCTGGGTTTGTTAATAAGAGGAATTTTTAGACCAGTTATATATGAAATAACCTTCTTATGAAAACCTAGCTTTTTCCACCTATTGGAAAAAGGTAGTAATCCGCCACACGGCTTACTAACCTCTAAGAACTGTGTCACATCTAGACACTGCTGCTGCTGTGATAGTGATTCCACTGAATCATTCAATGACGGCGTCTCCTCTCGACGCTGCTGTTGATACGATGACTCTGAGAATAGTAATGAGTCTTGGATCTTCTCGGGTTGTTGTTTTGCGATGGAGTGCGTCTCTGAACTTTTTGACCCATCTGTTGCACTCCCTTTGCAAATGGGCGCCGGAAGTTTCCCTGTTTTGAAGTAGTGGCCATGGTGGAAAACGATGGCTTATATTTTTTAATCTTCAGCTGCTCCCCAGACTTTTCAAGCTTCTTTGCAGCCTCTATGGTGGTTTCTAGCTCTTTACCAAATAAATACTCTGAAATGGTGGTATTTTTTAAGGTTTCCTTAAGGTCCTTATTCAAATTTAGCAGTAAAAGCTCCCTTCTTGACACTGATTCATGATAAAAAACATCACAAAGCAGGCGTAACGCGTCATTTGTAGTCTCAATATGTTTAATATTTTCCTCCCCACTTTCTTTCGCCAATTTTGATGTGAATTTTATTAATATTGAAATGACAGCTGCAACCTGTCCTTGTAGATTAGATAGCCTTGCATCCCTCTTCAATGTGTTTTCTTGAACAGCTACTTTGACCTCGGGGTTGATTACAGGAGGTACAATGACCTTAAAATTTTCCGGAGGAAGATATTTCTTGATAAGGTCCGTTTTTACCTCCTCTTTCAATCCGCCTAGCAAAACCTTGGTATAGCGGGGAACTAACTCTTCAAGTATAGGCTCCGAAAAAACCCTTTCTTGAATTTCATCTTCACCGAGAATAGAACTAATGTTTACTGTTGTTGGTATCAAGTTGTCTGTAACACCAAAAGAAAAAAAGGGGCATAACATATCTATAACCACTCTAGGTTAGATAACGATAACAATAGGTGCTAATAAAATGGAGAAAATCATGAATTAAAGGAGCATCCCATCATGTGTCACTCTACACACATTTCACAAACTGTAACCACTCTAGATTAAGTTAAAAAGCCTTGTGGAACGTGTCACTCTAGACACAGGCTGTTTTTTCCAAAAAAAACTTGAATCACTCTAGATTAAGTTGAATCAGAAGCATTATATGTCCTGCGTCACTCTAGACTCGGGCTGCTTTAGTATAAGTACATATATCTATACCACTCTAGGTACAAATAATGTCGAAAAAATAAATATAGTATCTTAACATATGAATCACCAAATCAACAAAATTCCTAACCAAAAAATTTTTCTTACCAGCGGCAACGCTCTCAGGAGCGTTGTTGTTTCCTTGAACACTCTGTGACTCATCTTCACCTGTAATCAACTCGTCAGCGTCAGCATCGTCGTCATAATGATCCAAATCATTATCACTTCCCGTCGAATAGTCAAACGAAGGGGTTAGGGATCGACGATAACGTTTCTGTTCCTGTTCGATTGCACTCAACCTCCGCATCACTGTTTTGAACATTGATTTAATCTCAGAACTATCCAAATGTTTTCTGTCTGAGCTCCTTGGTCGTTTTGTACTTCTGTCCGCCATTATGCACAATAAATTTCGGAAGCGATAGCGTATCTATGTGATCCGTAATACACAAAAACGAAGATTGAAGCAGCGAGGCACCTGAAGGTTCGGAGTGGGGTGCGGTGTTGCCAGATGCAGATTTCTTTAAAAATTGTGGTCCGGAAACGCAGAACGGAGGTACTACAGACTTCTTTATTTAGGAGACGGGACCGTGATATAATATATACTTCTACCTGCTTGTAGGATATACTAAATCTTCATAGACTTCGTCCAGGAGAGTTTCAACAGTATTTTTTGAAAGGCGAAATCTTGCAAGGAAATCAAGGTCATCAAAGTAATTCGGCCGATGGCGGATTATTTTTGGCCTTCCCGGGTCTTTAACACTGCTATACGCATTTACGTCGTAATCCATAAACGTGTTTATATATAGCTTAAATTAATCGATAGATTGATATGGATTTGTTGTGATTTTTTGAACAAACGTCTAAATTTATGTCAAAGAAACGTCAGGCATTGCTATTTAACTACAGCCTTTCTAGTTAACTCATAGATGGTCTTCTGGTTAAAGTTAACTACCGTTTTACCATAAACATGATATTGAAAAACGCTTTTTCATGAATAACTATAGGTTAAGACCAAGTTTGTAGTTAACCTGCGATTGAAAAACCGGGCCATAGTTAGTTAACTCAACTGAAAATACAGGGTGTTAATTAAAATTTAAAGTCCATATAAACATAGGTTATCAAATTCTTCGTTCTCAAGATACATGGTGATAAAATTAAAAATAAAAATGGTTTTTCTCAAATATCCTTTATCTAATTTTGGTGTAACTTAGCGATATTATTTATAACATTGAGGAATAAATTTGGCCCTGACTTAATTAAATTTATTAAGGTCAGTGGCGTCTCGAGCGGGATCTGAACAAATATTTGTGACTTTTGTGAAATTTTTATTAAATTATTTGGATGAAGAAAATATAAATACAATTCATTTGTCTTTTGAATTTTTTTCATTTCTTCCTTAGTCTTAGAGAAAAAAAAAATAGTCCACTTAATTACACATCCCTGGACCACACAAGGAATATGGGTAAAAGTTTTTTTTGGAAATTATTTATTCCCTGCGCACGGGAACCGTGGGGCCATAGGTTAGAGACGAAAGGGCGGATCTTCTTCATGTGCCTTTAAATCATAGCCTTGCAGTGACTTTCAAAACGCAAAACCAATTGTGATCACTTAATCATATGAAGGCAGTGGCAAATCTATAAATCACTTTTATGAGCACGTTTCAATTTTCCGTCATGCGGTTAAACTAGGCAGTTCTAGATGAATAAAATTAACATTATCTGTTTGTATTGATCTTGGGAGGAGTTTTTGGAGAAGCAAAAATTTTATACGGTTTGATCTCCGCTTAAAGTGGCTGGACCTATGTCTACAAAGCAGGACGCATGTAGACAGAAAGTGTTTAAACCATATACTGGTGAAATATTTCACATAGTTAATGAAATTAGTAGCAAGTAGCGTTAATTTCGTAATCTAAATGTTTTTCATATTTACATTTCAGATGAGACTGAATTTATGGCTTGGTACCAATACCAAACATCCGACCTACCATATCCGAATTAATCAAACAACCTGCTTCTCTCTGAATATTGAAATTTCTACTTTTCAAAAGTCTGGAGATATGTTACCAAAAAAGTTGTCATCTACCTTGAAAATCACCCCATATTGGGAATTTAATTAAGCCTACACCACATCAACAGCAATAGCCCGCCGCCACTGGAAAATAATCTAACCTAGCCTCCTGCCCCTTTAGAATGCGGTTCCTTTTATCTATGATGCATTGCTCGGATATTACCTTCCAGGATCAATCATGCTTTCCAGACGGTCTTCCCTGCCGATACAATGTTGCAATTCGGTATTCATGGAGGCCATAAAATGAAAGAGGTATCTGCAACTTGGATGGCTCATTTTTGTACATGATTGTATGCAGATTGCACATTCACCAACATCGAAAGTAAACTCTCACCATAATATAGAATAACATGGAGCTTTTATAAATGATGAGTGGTGGAATTTAAAACGTGTCAGATATGGATTGTTATACCTGGGGTCCTATAATGGTAAAAAAACAAAAATAACACAAGTTCCTGTAAGAACAAAAAAAAAGAATTTGTTTTCCAACTTTCGAACGACACGGTATGATTCAATAGAATTTTGTCATCCTACTGACTAGTTTAGAAGGACTTTGAGGATATCCTGAAAAGAAGTATTGCTGATTTTGTTACAGCCTGTAAGAAAATTACTCCAAAATGATATTTTTGTGTAGCCTAAGGCTTTTAGCTGGTAAAAAGCACACTTGGTTGAATCTGATGAAATTATTGATAAATACTTTCGTTTCAATTCTGCTCGACGCAACATAAAACTCACGTGAATCATCTGAAAATCAATATCCTGAGTTTTTTCAGGTGGCTAATTACAAATCTGTTATAAATGATTAAGTGCGAATAAACAGATAAGCAAGCACCCATCAAAAGTTATTGTTTCACATATCTAAGGACTGGAATGTATCGGAAGCCTATATCCCCATTCTTCATGTAATGCTTTTCGTTATCAGAGAACACCAAAATGAATAATTCACTTAACATAAAAACTTTTCATCGTCGCACAGGAAGATATGGTGATAAAGACATTTCCTGTTATTTATTTTTAACCAAAGTTCCCACTGTAAAGTCATTCGTAAAATGTAATCTGTTGACATCAGTTAAATCGGTAGTTTCAACGTGACTGCAAATATGTACTATGAAATGGAGGACTACAGGTTAGTTTTTGAAAACAATTTGATTTTGATGTTCTATGAGATGCATTTGTAAATGCCAGATGATAAAATTAATAACAGTTGGTAATGGTATGGTAATCATGGGTTTCTTCAGGTTTATACAGAACCTACCACTCACGATACGGCGCTAAAATCAATCCACCTATTACGTGGCAACTAAAAAAAATGTAGTTGGTTTCTGCTAACTGGGAACCGATTTGATAATGTTCGATGCGTAAAGCTTATCCTTTCGCCTTTACATTTACTAATGCCAAGTTTTTATAAAATTCATACCACACATACGAGGGGCTTCCCACTTCAGTTGGCCCACTTCAAGATTTGTACCAAAAAATGCCTTTATAAACTAAACATGACGAAACTATTTACTTCTAAAACAATTTATTTTCTCTAAAACATTTTAGATACACTCTAGTCGTAAAAAATACATATTTGAAATCACTTAGACCTATAACTAATAGAACATCTGAACAAATAAACAATGTGCGAATAAATGTGCGAAGTTAACAAAGCAACAATTGAAAGATTACCATTGGGTAACATCACCTTTATTTTTTATTACGGCTGAAATTCTTTTGGGCCTAGGGTTAACCAAGTTTTGGCAAAAATTTGGTGTAAAACAATCGAAAATTTCTTGAAGCTTTTGTCTCAGTTCGGTGATTATACGAGCAGGATGTTGTCGTAGAACCTTTTTCATCTCGTGCCACAAAGTTTCAATGGGTGACAGATCTGGACTGCTAGAAACCCATTTCAAAAGTGGTACATTATTTTTTCCATCCATTTTATAGCCTTTTTTGAGCTATGGCATGCTGCACCATCTTGCTGAAACACAAAATCTTGGCCGGATGTCAAACATTCTTTCATCACTGGTAAAAGCGATTCTTCTAAAATTGACAAATATTTGTTTGTATCCACATTTCCATCAATAAAATGAAGTTTTCCTGCTCCTTTTGATGACATACTGCCCCAGACCGTAATGGATGCTGGAAATTTCAATTTTCTCTTCAAACAGTCAACATGGAATGCTTCATTTTTTTGCGAATAACTCTACTGCAACTGTCACCAACAAAACTTCGAATCGAGTCTCATCACTCCATTGTATTGCACACCATTGTTGAGGTGTCCATTGTCTATGTTCTTCAGCCCATCTAAGCCGATTTTTCTTTTGCAGTGGTATTAATAGTGGCTTTTCTTTGACCTATAAACAAGTTGTGCAACTTTAGGGTTTTTACTTCATTTCACTTTTTTTTATAAGAAAACTTACCTTGCAAGTGCTAAATCCCAGTTTGCGGGCCTCTCTATGAGTTGTGGACCTCGAAATTCTCCTTCCAACAGCGTCACTTCACAGAGCACTTAATTGTAAATAATTGGCACGCCTGTTTTTCACGATTATTCTTCTTAATGCTGTTCGGTCGGCATTTGTGATATTACTTTTTTTCACATATCGTGGCTTAATATTAACTGAACCAGTTACGTTATATCTTCTAACAATACAGTGTGAGTCTTCATAAAGTGCATATAGCAAAATGAAGGAAACTACACCTTATTTTATTGACGAAAAAGTTATAAAAAAAAAATAAAAACAGTAATTGATTTTTTATGAATATTTTAAAATTTTTAGAGTCAGCTGCTAACCCTATTTAAATAAATCGTTACAGCTTTTAAACTGAATGTCCTATCATATTGGAATAAATTTTGTAGTGATTGCAAATAATAGGCCGTACCAGTAAAGTGAAAATTTCCACGAAATTAAATGCTATAAATTTAAAATAAAGAGGAATATGCTGAAACTCACTATTTTGTCAATGATTTTTAAAACAATTGCTAAATTTCAATAAAAATTGTCCTATTTACTCTACCTTTTTTAAATGTTAAGTTATTCTACATGTTATTAGCTTCCTAATGGTGAAAAATTGCAAGTTTATTACTTAGATACAAGTTTTTAAATCAGCGTCTCAAAAAGCAGTGAACTCAGTTCAACGCCAGAGTAGGAATAAAACAGTATTAACCTACATGAATCATTCATTGCCTTTAACAAATAAAAAATCAAATAAACTTGTCTATAGGATAATCATTTCGGATTAATGCATCAAATGTTCAAAGTGGCCACCCCGTTGCTGCAAACACATTGTAGCGCGAAGTGAAATTTGATGAGTTGCCCTACGAATCATCTCGGGATCATTTTTGATTTCGTTTGCAACACGCAAAACTCTTTCTTCAAGTTCCGCTTCGCTGTTTATGGAACTGCTATACACCCTTTGTTTCATTGTCCCCCATAAAAAATAGTCGAGAGGTGTGAGATCTGGGGAACGCGCCGGCCACCCAACAGGTCCTTGTCGACCGATCCAGCGGCCTGGATAATTTTCATTAAGAAAAGACCTGACAATCAGCGAGTAATGGGCAGGACATCCATCCATTTGAAGCATCATTCTTCGACGGGTTTGCAGCGGCACTTCTTCCAACAGCAATGGCAGTTCAGTCCGCAAAAGCTCCAGAAATCTCTCTCCGATTAATGTCCTCGGGAGTATTATTGGACCAATCAAAAAGTTGTCAATCAGTGCGGCCCATACATTTACAGAAAATTTCACTTGAAATGTTGAAGCCCTTTTCAGCCTAGGGTTTTCATCTTTTGAGCACCACTTATGTAAATTACGTCAGTTCACGATGCCGTCTCTCGTGAATTGAGATTCATCTGTCCACAGAATTGTTTTCGGGAATTCAGGATTGTCTCTTGTTTTTATTAAAATCCATGTAGACATAACGCACCTTGGACGGCAATCCACATCTTCATGCAAGTGCTGCACCCTTTGATAATGGTATGGATGCAACCCTGCTTTCCTCAAGATGCGCCAAACCGATTTCTGGGATACGCCATGACGTAACGCCAAACGTCTCGTACTAGTAGTCGGGTCAGCAAACAAATCATCCAAAATGGCTTCTTCGATAGCAACATGAATAATAACACCTGGTTCGCGGCGATCTCGAGGCAAACCAAGTCCAGTGTTAGCCAGTCTTCTATGTACTTCTTGGAAGTTACGGGCTGATGGAACAGGGCGTCGATTTGGAAATGCAGCTAGATAAGCTGTGCAAGCAGCTCTAGCACTCCGT